ATATCATTATTTATCGTATGCAACTTAATTTTGGTTGGAAGATATTCATTTAGAACATGCTAGAAAAGAAAGTTAAAAGTAGGGTTGTATACAGGTTAGTTCAGTTTAATTATATATGTCTTTGTCAATCGAACTGAATATATCGGATTAATTACTAAATCCACCGAAACCGACCGAAAGAAATAAAAAAAAAAAAAAAAAAAAACCCGACTTGTAGTAGAAACTATCTAGTGGCCGGCTTGTTCAGTTATAACCGAACCAAGACCTATTATTGGTAGGGATTAAAGCCCACGACCCAAGAAAATTTATTCATTCCTAGTCATTTAAGATACATTTTCACGCTCTTTTTTTTTTTTTTGAAAAAATGGAATTGTGCAAAAAAAAAAAAATTCATTCATATAGTCGGTTCAGGTCACTTTACTTAAGTTTACAAAATTATAACCCACAACTGAACCGATCAGTCGAGTTATCCATATTTTAAAATTAAAACCAACCAAGTTAAATTAAAAGCCAACACAACAGATTGAGTTGGGTCGGTTTGATCAGGTTGGTGAAAAGCTTCAATGTCCATTTGAAGCAAACCCTTTTAAAAATCTAATAAAGTCTTAAGTGGATGATGATAATAATGATATAGTCAAGATAAGCTCTTTTTGAAGATAAACGTTCATTCCCATCTTTCAGCTAAAAGGAAGAAACATCTAATGTGGTGAGGAAATAAGAGTTTAAAGAATCAAGTTCACAATACGGTCAGAGAAAATTTTTTGAAAGAAACTTTGATTCCAATAATTATTGGGAGCGACAAAATTAGAGATTTTTGTTTGTTGAAGATACCTTGGTAAGCATCAAGAAATTGGGATGAGATTGAATCCAAGTTAAAACAAAAATGCTTTTGGTAGTATCAGGGCCAACTCAATAACCTACTTGATGCTGAATCTCCTTGAGTATAGGGTTAATAGATTTCTAGATTAGAGAATTAGACTATTTAATCCAAAAGGGAAAAAGATCCTGTGCAATTTAGGTATTTCGATCTCTTGATTTTAGCCCAAATTTTGCATTGTTTATTAGGGAACCACTTGGCAAGTTTCTAAAGGAGGGATTTGTTGACAACAATAGTAAGCCTATGATCAATACCTCCCTCCATTCGACTGGTATTTTTATTTGTCCATTAATTGAAGAATTCCACACAAAACATCTAATAATCTTGTCAATTTGATTAACAGTTTTATGGGGAAAACTTGATCAGGTTCATACAATGTATAGGAATTGCCTTTAAGACAGATTGAATCAAGAACTTTTTACCAAGAAGAGGGTTTTCCAATGATTAAGTTTGGCTTTCAAGATTTCCAAAATAAACTCTAAGGAGAAGGTAACTTCAATCAAGTTGTTCCATAAATTAAAAATGACAGTTGACAAGGGCATACATCTTAAATACAACTCACATGAGCCATCTTGGAAAACACCAAAACAATGGTAGGGGTATATTGGTATAAAATTAACATCTTTCCATTAAAGACAATGGTGGGGTATGTGAATACAAAAACCAAATTGAATAAAATCTAAACATTTTTAACCAAAGTTGTTAAGGGGAAACCGTACCAAAACCGAATTGAGGAAAACACAAAAGAACCAAATCTGGAATTTTTAGTTTGTTTTCTTGTTATTTGGGAATTGCATATTAGTACATTGTACCTTTAAGCCTGGTCTCACTTTGGTGTCTGAACTTTAAAATGTGTCAATACAGTATCTAAACTTTTAACTTAAATCTTTTTAAAATAACGAAACTACCATTTATAACATTTTTTAGACCATTTAACCCTTTTCTTTTTAAACATTAAAACATAGGGCTCTTCCCTATTCAACGAACATAACAGGGATGAACGAACCAAGAAAAATGGTTATTCCTTGTTAAATGAACGAAGAAGAAGGGTTCTGTTGAATGAACAACTATAATTGTTTCATCAAAAAGCTTAACAAACAAGGTTAAGGTTATGAGGTTATGCCAATGCTTTCATTATAAACAGTATTTATGTGAGACTATCTTGGTGTGTGTTAGTCTTTTATTTTGGTGCACGGGCAGGTTATAAGGTTGGTTATGCATTACTGAAAAGATATGCACATTGGGTAATTAATGCTCTAGTGGTGGTGTTGATGTTGTTGCTTGCTGCCATTGAATTGTGGAGGCAATGCATGCCCAGAATCCTGAACTTGAACTTGTTGTTGCATTGGGATTTGGGATTCGATAGCTTGGATCATATATGTTGCTCTTTGGATTAACAGGGTTGAGAGAGAAACTCTGTTTTGTGCAACTGCTACAATGTGCTCTTTATGTTTAACAGAACGCATACAGGTTTTGGGCGACACATCGCATTTGCCATGCTATTGTCTCCGCAAGGATTAAAATCAAATTTAAGCCCTCGAAAGCAAAGGCAAATCAATGCCACCGCTTATCTCTTGGTTTAGCTGCACCAATCCAACAGGATCCCCCATGGTCGGATCTCTTATTGTCGAAGAAGAAAACCCGATTCTGGTTTTCGCCGACATCAACAACAACTATAGAAGACAAAGCAGAAAATCCCTCCTCTTGTTTATGTGCAACTACAATCGTATGTGAGAAATGTTCTTCTAATCCAAACTTTTGATCCTAAAACCAAGGTCCACCATCCTCTTCGATCATGTTTTCAAGATCCTCATCGACGATGACGGAGATGAGGGAATCAAGGTCCTCGTTAGGGAGATGGTGCTTGAGGGTGACGGAGCGGCCATTGAGAAGGTTGCAAGAGAGATGAGCAGAGAGAGAGGTCCTCTAGAGAAGATCACAGTCAACAGCAACGATGACGGTGTCTCCGCCAAGGTAGCAAAGTGACTTATCGTGAGGGCGAGGAACGATGTGACCACCGTAGGTGCACATTAAGCGCAGTTTAGTGCCGGAAAATCGGAGGGGTAATGGCTCATCCCAGGAATCGGCGTTGCGGGAGCGAGGAGAATAATTGACGGAGTCGGCATGACCGATATGAGTGTTGGCAACGATGGGGGAGGTGGCAGAAGTGGTAGCTCAATTGGCGATGGTGGGGCTGAGCCGGGATTTGTCTCCATTTAGGGGAGAGACGGGGACGGAGAGAGCGCTAATTGGGCGTTGAAATTTATAAGGCCATGTTTGCTTCGATTCTTATTTTTTCTCATTCTTATGTAACATGAAATTCTAAAATGAAAAATAATGGGTAAAAATAGGTAAAATGAGAAAATATTACTATGAACTAAATACTTTTTTCCTAAAAATGAATTCTTTTCAAATTGACAAGTGTCATATGTCGCTCATTTTCATTTTCAAAGAAAAATAAATAAATTTGTGCCGATATTTACAAACCACTAACCTAGGTCTCCAATAGTCAATTTTTTTTATTATTTCTAACTTATTCTTGTTGCTATTTCGAGTTCTATTGAAGTAGTAGTCGATTAATAGAAAATCTCTTCGTATAGTAGTCAACTACTAGGACAAGATACTAATAATAGTCAACTACTACAAAATCTTTTCGTGAAGTAGTTGATTACTAGCAACAGAATACTGATAGTAATTGACTACTACAAAATATCTTCGTGAAGTAGTTGACTATTAGCAACAAGATATTATTTTCGGGACCAATATTTTCCCATTACATTCAAGCAATGGAAAACTTTCTCCCAATTACATTAATAATTATAACAGTTAGGGGTGAACATGGGTCAATTCGGTTTGGTTCCATGGTAGAACCTGGAACCTACCTTGTAAGGGTCGGTTCTAGGTTTTTGGAACCAGAACCTACCCTATAAAGGTCAGTTCTAGAGTTTACTCGTGGAATATGTTCTTTCTTTACTCTCCATCTTCAAGAAAAAAAATGAAACATGTCCTTYAAAAACTTGATTTCCAATCATGATAATATATAGTTTAAAACTTATATTATCTCTATCAATTAAGTTGAGTAATTTAATATGTAGATTATCATAAT